GTGCGGCTGGGGCGCCCCCGGCTTCAGCTGCCGCGCCGCGCCATGGCTGAGGCGCCCCGCGCGCCCTCAAGCCCGGAGAGCACTGCGGGCCGCCGGGGTGGCTGCGGCAGCTCCCGCTCCGCCTCCGCCTCCGCCTCCTCTGGCCCGGACTCTGCAGCTGCGGCGGCCGGCCGCCCGCCTCCTCCTCGGCCCCCTCCTAGCCTCCGCCTCGAGCACAGCGTGAGGAGGAGCCGCGGGTCTGAGGAACGCCATAGCAGCGCTCCCGGCACTGACTAATCAACAAGGTTCGAGCGACGCCTGCGCAGCTCGCCTCGGCACCGCCTCTGTGCCCCGCCTCCCCGCCGCGGGCCCCGCCTTCCTAGCGCAAACCCCGCCTCCCCACCGCAAGCCCCGCCTTCCAGTCGAGGGCCCCGCCCTCCTGCCGCAAGCCCCGCCTTCCAGTGGCGAGGGCTCCGCCTCCCCACCTCAGGCCCCGCCTACATGCTGCTAGCCCCTCCTCCCATGCGTTAGTGTTCCAGCGGGCTCCGCTCCCTCTGGCCCCGCCCCTCTATCCCCGCCCCCTCCCGGAGGCTCCACCCCCGCGCTCCTCCTGCTTCTGTTCTGGGGGCCGCGCTCCTCCTCGGGTGGAGGCTTCTCCTGGGACCGCGTAGCGGGCAGCTCAGCTGCGCTCCGCAAGCTTTAGCTCTCGCTCCCCCGTCCGACCGCTCGCGCGCTCTGCAGCCTCTCCTGGCGCCGACCCAGGTCCTGCGCGGGGCTTTGCCCGGAGCCCGGGAGTGCCGAGCTCTTTGTGCCACTGTGAGCCGCACCCGGGCCGGGAGTGGAAACCTTTGATGCTCCCGTCCTTTTCAGAGACCTGGGCGGGGGAGAGTGCTGCAGCGGCTAGGCCAGACCGGCCAGGTCCTGGAGAAGGCGGGACTGGAGTCTCCCCTACGGACTCGGAGGGGAAGGGAACCTGGGTTTCCTGGGTCCGCGGCCCGCCGTTCGCCCTGCTCGCCCATCCAGTTCTCGTCTAAAAGGCTGGGGTAATGCACCTTTCCAAACTGACTGCCAGCACCTTGGGTGATGTTGCAGAATGGCCAACCGTGGCTGGCGGTGCTGACATTCAATGCAGGTTGCTTTCCGTGGTGAATGTTGAATATGGTTGCCCCTGTGTACAGCTCAGATTGTGAAAAGTGGCCGAGATCCCTACTTTCGAGGCACCCCCTGAGTGAGTGCTAATCTAGGAGAGCTTGGCGGTTGCTGAGGCGTTCTTATCAACAGGTATTCGGTGAGGCTGAGCCAGCACTGGAGGGGCCTTGAAACTGTCTCTTAGAGATTCAAATGCAGTAAAAAAGGTCTGTGCCTAGTGCATTAACCTCTCACTTTAGAGTGTTGGTTCTACTGTCCACGAAATTCTTCTGCTGAAAGTTTTGCATATGGTGAAGTTCTCTTAGTTTTTTGTTTGTTTGTTTTGTTTGTTCTTGGAGACAGGCTCTCCCAATGTAGCCCTGGCTGGCCTAGAACTTGTGTAAACAACGCTGGCCTTGAACGCAAAGAGAATAGCCTGCCTCTGCCTCCCTCCCAGTGCTGGGAGTAAAGGCCTGCAGCACCACACCTGGCTGTAACTTTTTAAGTCTTGAAGAAAAAAGTTAGCATCAGATGCTGACAAAGTTTTAAGATTTTCTCAAATGTAAAGAAGCATTTTAAAACCATAAAGAGTCAAGTACCAGCTATTTTTTTTCCAAATAATTTCTGAAAATAAAGCTTGGACTAAATAAAAACATGTAAGATTGGGCAAGGTCAGCTGTCCTTCATCCAGTAAGTAGGTCCTAAACCCTTAATCGATAAACTGATTCTTTAAAAACATAACTTTCTGCTGCTTTTATGCCATCCTTTAAAGCTTCAGGGAATAATGAGAAAATAATCCCCTCTCACAAAAAGGATTGGTGACTTATGACCAGACAAAAAATAAAAAGATTAATGTAATCAACTTTGTTTTTAAATCAATAAAGGTCTTAGATTAGATTTGCTGTTACTGCTGACCTAGAGGAAAGGTTTCATTTCAATCTTAAGTATTTAAGGGAAGAAATTTTAACATGGAGCCAGGTCTTGATAAGTCTCATGCTGAAGGACAATCCTTAAGAGAGATTTTAAGTATGAGGTGGAGCTTTGGTTAAACTGGAAGAAAATATCAACTGAACTGTTCTTCCAAATATGTTTCAGGAATTTTTAAACCAGTATAGTGCATGTAAAAGCACAAAACAGGCTGCAGGTGTACTATAGTTTGGATCTTAAATACCACCCCCCAAACTCGTGTATGAAAGGCTTATGGGGTGCCATTTAGAGATGGTGCAGCTTTTAAGAGATAGAGTCTGATGAGAGGTGTTAAGGTCACTGGGATGGGGTACCCTTGAAATGGATGAATAGTGATAATCAGCCTCTTTCCTTTTTTTCTCTTTTGTTCCCCAGCTCTGATAAGGCAAGTACTTGGCTTTACCTCATAGGGATCCCAAAACAGAGAGTTCATTCCATCATGAACCAAACTGTGAGCCAACTGTAAGTTGACTAACCTGAAGTACTTGTTACAGTATGGAAAGCTGATCATGATAGCTGGTAAAACTTACAGCATATTCTTAAGATGATAAAACTGTAACTTCGTGGCTGTGGTGGTGCACACCTTTAATCCCAACACTCGGGAGGCAGAAGCAGGCAGATCTCTGAGATCTGGGTCAGCCTGGTCTACATAGTGAGTTCCAGACCAACTGGGACTACAGGGAGATGCTGTCTCAAAACAAAACAAAACAAAACAAAACAAAACAAAACAAAACAAAACAAAACAAAACAGGGCCAAATCCACTCCAGGGCCAGTGAGATGGCTCAGTGGATAAAGGCACTTGCTGATAAACCTCATGACCTGAGTTTGATCCCTAGACCCCACATTGTAAAAGAGAGAACTGACTCTTGCAAGTTGTCTGACCCCCACGTATGTGACATACCACACCCACACACATACAAATATACAAAATAAAATTTAAAAGATCTCTCTATCCATCTGTCTACCATCCTTCTGTACTCTAAAGCCCTAAGTTTGGCTAGAGTTGCTCCTGTATAAGATCTTGGGACATTTGCTGCTTCTTCCTCTGAAAAAAAAAGAAGATGATAATAGCATTCATCTCAGAGGGCTTTATGAGAATCTAAGCACTTAATATATATTCAGAAATTAGCATAATGGCTGATACTTTGCTATTACAGGTTGAGTGTCCCTTATCTGAAATGCTTGAGACCAGAAGTATTTTAGATTTGTTCTTACTTTGGAGTGTTTGCATACAGCTAATGAGATGTCTTGAGAAATGGGACCCCAGTTTAAACATGAAATTCATTAATTTTTCATGAGTACCTTCATAGCATGAAGGTTTTTTATATTTTATTTCATTTTATATTTTATTTTAGGTGCTAGAGATTGAACCCACGGCTTCACACATGCTAAGCATGTGCTCTAACATTGAGCCCCGTGAAAGTAATTTTTAGTGTGCCACATTGTTTTGACTGTGACTGTCATGAGATGTTAGGTGTGGAATTTTCCACTTACTCTGTTAGTGCTCAAAAGTTTTAGACTTTGAAGCATTTCTGATTTTGAATTTTGAATTACAAATGATCAGCCTATGTTATTAAAAATACTATTGCAGGGACTGGAGAGATGTTCAGTAGTTAAGAGCACTGGCTGCTCTTGCAGAAGACCCTGGTTTGGTTCCCAGCACCCATGTGGTGGCTAACAACCATCCATAACTACAGTTCCAAGGGATCTGATGCCCTCTTCTGACCTCCATGGGCATTGCACAACACAGGTACACTTACATACATGCAAGCAACATACTCATTTACATAAAATAATAATAAAATATTTTCAAGACTATTGGTTTTGGGGGCAAGTTTTAGAGAAAAGATAAGGAGACAGATTCTGATTTAAAGAAAGGATTAGATTTGGGGGAAACAAAGCGGAGTAGAGAACAGTGCTCAAAAACGAGACCCAGCTATAGGATACTACTAAACCCAGTCTTCAGAACGATAGGACATCACTAGACCCTAGAGTCTGTGGAAGGGACTTCCCACAGTGATCCAGACCTCTACCGGGCAGAACTGAGCAGGCTCAGGCTGCTATTTCATATGCTGAAGAAGCAAAGGCTGTGGTAAAGCCCAAGGGTGAACCAGGCATCAGATACCTTAGGACTGGTGTGGCAGACTTCATCAAGGCTTCCTAACTGTGAGTCTACTGTTTACAGAGGCATAATTTGGTCACTGTCTGCATTATCAACTTTGCAAGATAAAAATATTACATGTTTGTCTTCCTCATATCAGAGTGTCCTGGGTACAAGTTATGAGCTAGTGGTCAAGTGCGATATCAAAGTTCACAGCCCATGTTCCTCTAGAACTTTAGGCTCTTTTTCCTTTCTATTCATTTCCATGCTATCACCAGAGTTAACCTAAAAGTCAGTCCCTGGCTAAACCCTTGTACAGTGTCTATGTCTTTGTTGTCTACGGAATGAAGGAGAAAACCCTTTGTGCAGCATTCAAGGTTATTCCCTTTTGTGGCAGGCACAGCCTCCCCAGCCTGCTTTTTTCCACCGCAACCTTCTTGCGGAGTGATCCTGCCTTCTTGCTGATGCATGCCTTTGTAGGTGTTCTCTCTGCCCAGAATACCTTTCTCTTTTTCTCTTCCCATGACATGCCTGTTCCAACTCTAACTTCTTGCATTCTGCAAAATGGTATCTCCTCCAAAGAACCCATGGTTTCTGATACCATACCCAGTGATGCCTTCTTCCACCATGCTGATTGTACTGTGATTTGATGACTGCTTTCTTTTTTTAAAAAAATATTATTTTTATTTTATGTGTATGATTATATGGCCTGCATGTATGTAAGTGTACCTGTGTTGTGCAGTGGCCATGGAGATCAAAAGA